TTTGACCTAAACCTATGTAAAATGTTCCGGAGAATCGATTGGCGTCAAAAAAACTGCAAAATTCCTAATAGTTTTGAAGTTATAGTCGGATTTAAATTTTTGAAAATTTTAACTTTATCACAAATTTTCTCGATAACTGTTTATTGTAGAACACTGATCTTTCTTGTATGTTATAGAAAATTAAATTTTCTTTCCAACGGTACCAAATATAAGAAGTTATCTCTAATAACTCCGAAATTACTAACAATAAACCGCTCCGCGTACCGAAAATCGCCCAAAATTTTGACAAAATTCGAGAAAATGAAAAACTTCAAAATTGTCCATTTGCACTCTTGGATGTTCAAAAGACTTAATAAAGCACAAAAACATTGTAAAAATGCGAAAAATAAATTTTTGAAAAATTTTGTGTAAAATATATTGAATGAAAACTTTGAAATTGTCGGCGGCGGTGGTGGCTCAGCGGCATAAGGTCCCGCTTTCCAGCAGGTAGGTCCCGAGTTCGAGCCCCGGTCAAGTCGGCAATTTTTCTCAAATTCAAATTCAAATATAATTCAAATAAATGTCAAAAGAGGGCGGGCGTATAAGAGCGCGAACTTTAAAACAAGTATCTACAAAAGTGAAAATAGTGTAAAAAGTGTATATTAAGTAAACAAAAGGTAAGTTAAAAGTAAAATAAATGAAAGGTAAGTTTTGCATTAAAAATTAAGAATTTTTTTTATTAATTATTGTTATTATTACTAATAACACAAATGATTTACATGAGTAGTAGTATAATAAAGTAAAAGTAGCATGAAATTGCATGAAAAATTGGTCCATATGCACTTCTAAGGGTTCAAAAGTGCATAAAACTTCACAAAAACACAAATATTTAGTTTTTTAAAATTGTAGCAAAATAACATTTTTACTTGTGTTGGCGACAATTAATTCAATGCAGTCTGAAGTTTTTCAGTTTAATTATCCCAATTAAATTTTTATAACAAAAATAGAAAAATTTAAATTTCTTCATTAAGTCACTTGCTGTAAAAATTATGCAAATTCCGTCTAATAAACTCCGTCAAACTAATTTAATCCCAATTACAAAACTTGTTAAATAAAACGTCGATATTTTCTCAAAAACCTTTATTATAAAATAATTAAATTAAATACACAGAGAAATCAAATACTGTTAATGTTCTTTGGTTGATTAAACAAACAAGGCAGTTTTCTAAGTATGTTAAAAAATAAAATTGCACAAGATTTCTTAAAATTAACCTGAGGTGTTGTCTTGCTCCGGACTTTGTGTCACTCCGGTGTCACTCTCCGGAGTCCGGTTAGTGGTGGTCGAGGACGGCCTTCCGTACAAGTAACTCGTACTCCGGTAACCGTCGTAGGGGTCTCTTGGGCGGTAATAACCTCCCCCTCCTCCCGCTCCTCCTCCTCCTCCTCCACTGTATCTAAAAAAAAAAACTTGAAAACTCCATTGTCTGGAGAGTTTCCCCGCTTGTTTTGTATATACGCAACGTTTTGTTCGATTTTTCTTTTGAATGAAAATTCGCTTATTAAATTTTTCCATCGCTAATTTTCCAATTCTGCTCACCGTTTATCGTCCACCGGCTGGATCGTTATTAGGGGGGAAACCGATGTGTGGCTGTCGGGAGGACAACATGACGGTCCGGGATTTCTATAATCGACATGGAATACCGGGATTTAGAGCCGAATTGGGATTTTAGAACTGGGATTAGTCACTAATATGTACAATTTATTCACGAAATTATTAATTTTTAGACATTTTTTTAAGTGACCGGTGAGTGGAATGTAACTATTGACATTGTCATTAACTATTGACATTAGTTATTGGTTAGTTATGGGAGTTAGTTCGTTGAAATAATACGTAAATACTTCTTGGCAGATTATTTTCATGTGTAAACTAAATATTGACTGTCATTAGTTAACTATTGTCAATGTCGCCAAAAAACACAAATTAACTACATACTAGAAATATATGATAATTAAATTAAACTGACAATAAACTGTTCATTAATAGAATCGATATTTATAAAATCATTTAGTGTTGACAGACATTAACTAACTATTGACTGTCAGTAGTTAAAATTATAAAAAAATATTAACTAACATAAAATTTTTAGTTTTTAGTCACAAATATGTACAATTTATTCACAAAATTATTCATTTTACCTCATTTTTCAAATTTCTCGTAATGCTATGTTACTACTGACCTTGTCATTAACTACTGACATTAATTATTTGTTAGTTGTGGCAATTTAATAATTAAAATATCACATAAATACTTTACAATTTTTTTCATAATTTTTACACTTTGTAATAAATTAACTATTGACTGTTATTAGTTAAATATTGTCAATGTCGACAAAAAACATAACAGTTAATTGTCCTACAAAAAATCGTTGATAGTTAACTACATACTGACTTTTCCTATAGAAAAATAAGATAATTAAGTTAAATTGACAATAAACTGTTTATTATTAGAATCGGAATTCATATTCAGTGTTGATAGACATTAACTACCTATTGACTGTCAGTAGTTAAATTTATAAAAAAAATATTAACTAACATGAAGTTTTTAGAATTGGGATTAGTCACAAATATGTACAATTTATTTACAAAATTATTAATTTTTGGACATTTTTTAAGTGACCGGTGAGTGTAACTGTTGACATTGTCATTAACTATTAACATTAATTATTGGTTAGTTTTGGTAAGTAATTAGTTGTAAATAATTCTTTACCGATTTTTTAATAATTTTTACACTCAGTAATAAACAAACTATTGACTGTCATTAGTTAATTATTGCCAATGCCGCCAAAAAGTACAACAGTTAATTGTCTGTTAACAACTGACTTTTCTCATAGAAAGATAATTAAGTTAAATTGATAATAAACTGTTTAATATTAACTAACTATTCACTGTTATTAGCTGAATTTATACAAAAATATTAACTAACATAAAGTTAGCTAAAAACTGCTGACATTTAAATAATATGTCTAGCTCTGCAAAAATCGATTTTATTTCCAGTTTTGACAAAAAGTATAAAACTATTAACTACAATTGCTTAACTATTAACTTTTAAATTGTAAAAAAATGCAATAGCTAAGTAATTTTGGGAGTTAACTCTTGTTTATTAACTAAATATGGGTGCGCAGTTTTTTTAAAGAGAGTTGTCATTAATTAACTATTGACAGTAATATTCAATTAAAAACTGTAAAAAGTTTGAAACTATGATTTGCTAATATAAAAAATAACTGTTCTTAATTAATTAGTGATGTATGTATGTATGTATATATGTACTGTTTACTACTGTCATGTTGACGTTTATAAATAGCTATATTTGTTTATTGACAAAAATATTAACTATTTATAGATTTTGACTACTAAAAATATTTACAATTTGTGTCAATTTTTTTTCCAGTTACTTATTGACAAGATAATAATCTTTTAACTATTAACATCAATACCAAAATGGTAAATGGTCTGTAAATTCAAATATGTATATAATTAGCTACTATTAACTATATTGACAATTATATAACAATAAAATGAAAAAATTACTATACTTAGGTTTTAACTATTAACACTTTAGATGCAAACTTATGATTTTATTATGTTTGAGTACTTTCGTTCAATTATTTTCTAGTTAATTAATAGTACTATAAACTCGATTGTTAACAAAAAAACTTTTTAACTATCGTCAAAATTGCATATTTTTTTGTATTAATTATTAACAGTTTTTTTAGCTATTGAGACTATATAATAGTATCTACTGTAACGTTAAAATAGCTACATTGACTAGTAATAAACAAAATTATTGTTAACAAAAAAATAATTTCTTGACATCTTAACTATCGAACTTTTTTGTGTTGGCTATTAACAGTTTCTTAGCTATTGACATTATGTATTAAATGACTGAACAGAAATTGTCTTTTAACTATTGTTAAAGTTATTTATGTCAAAAACTAACTTTTGACTTTTAATTTTTAACTATTAACAAAGTTTTACTTTTAACTATTTACACGATTGACACTTTAGAACCAAGTTTGATTGTTTTTTTTTAAACTTTATGTTTGATTTGATGGTAATATCTACTATAACGTTAAAACAGCTATATTGACAATATATAATTTGATTGTTAACTAAACAAAAGCTTAATTTTAGTCCACTCTCTTTTAACTATCGTCAAAATTATTAACTATTAACAAAACAATTGTGTTTTAGCTATTGACACTATGAATTCAAATGTTATTTATTTATTGACAAAACTAAAGTTGTCTATTAACTGTTGTCAAGACTAATTTAGGTCAAATCTTTTAACTATTAATTTTTAACTATTGACACCTGTAGCAAAATGTTTTTGATTTAACTAGTAACTATATTTAAGTTTTAAGTATTGGCTTTAAGTATCGTCAACATTATAACAATTTTTTTAACTATTGACACCAAATGTAGTTTTTTTATTGACTTTATCAAACAACAATGTCAAAATTAGAGTAGTTAAGCAGTTTTAACTTCAATAATTATTATCAGAAACGCTCGCTTTTTTCTGACTTAATCGTGGTTTTCGTTCGTGAAAACGCCCCAACATTTAATTTCTCTCATAACTCGCCCCAATTTCCGCCAAATTTCCATTTCCCTCATTCGAAATGAGTCAATATTAAAATCCCAGGTGTGGAATTAGAGATTGATTTCTTCAATAAGACGAAAAATGGTACACGAGCTTGCGAAACACCATTCAAAAAATGCAAATTTAAAAGTGAAATCAGCGAGATTTTGTTTCATTTCCGGCCATTTGCCGAGTGGACGGAAGTGGGTTCACGTACTGATTCATCTCGAAACAATATAAAAACGCGTTTTTTATTAACGAAAAAAAATAAAAAAAATAAAGCGTAAAAGACATGCGCGGGGAAACCCCCACTTGGCGCTCCATTTCCCCCACTCCGCGACTTATCGATTATAAATAAAACAGCCCGATTGAAGAATTTAGTCTTGGAGTTATTTCAGCCACCAGTGTTAATCGTGTTAGAGGTCACACTGACCCAGTGATGCCAGATGAGATTAAGCGCTTCTAAATTCCCTAGAATTCCCTAAACTAGTTAAAAAATTAAAAAGATACTATTTTATAGGCCTATTTTGTTGAGGTAACATAATATAAATGCAACGTAAAAATGTGTTAACTCCAAACAACGAAAAATCAATAAATAATATAACAATAAATTAAAATAAATTTTACTAAAGAAATAAAAAAATAAAATACAAGTCAATTAAAACAAATTCAAATAAACGGCTTTTAGTTATCTTGTTCTTTTTTTTGGCTTTACACAACTACAGAAAATACATTTTTGGTTTCCGCGTTGCTATGTGCTAAACTCATACAGGGTGTTCCGTCTAAACCCCACATTAAAAGTATTGAGAGTTCGAATAATCATATTTGTTTGAAAATTGGTACATAGCTATAATGCATCAAGTCCTCCTAAATGAAAATATTTTCAAGATGGCAGCACTTCCGGTTATACCGGAAGTCGGTCTCAACTTTCTTATTTTAAATGGAAAGGTATATTTTTTATTGCGTTTTTGGATTAATCGGGTTATTTTAAGAGAGTTTTCATTAGCTTTCCCTATACCTAAATTTAGCCGTTTTTGAAATATTTGGAGTTTTTCAAAAATTTTTGGATCTGCGCCTTACACTTTAAACATCGGTAACTCTGCTATTTTTTAAAATTTTTAATTAGTTTTTTGGCGTCTGAAAGAGAAAGTTTAGGTCTTTCTTCAGGTGTTTTCAAATTTTGAAAAAAAAAATACAAACCACAAAATTTTATGGTTACTTTCGTAATAATTCAAAAATAAAAAAAAGTCCATAACTTGAAAATTATTAAATTTAGGTATAGGGAATGTTAATACAGATCAATGCACAATTATATTCTCTTCGATTTAGTAAAATAAAAATTGAGGTATTTCATTTGAAAAAATTGAGTTATGAGTATTTGGATTATTACAAAAGTAACCTTAAAATTTTGGGACATGTTATATTTTTTTTTCAAAATTTGAAAACACCAGAAAAAGGATCTAAGCTTTCTCTTTCAAACGCCAAAAAAACGAATTCAGAATCTTAAAAAATGGCAGAGTTACCGATTTTTAAAGTGGAAGGTGCAAATCCAAAAATTTTTGAAAAACTTCAAATATTTCAAAAACGGCTAAATTTAGGTATAGGAAAAGCTGATGAAAACTCCCTTAAAATAATACGATTAATCCAAAAACGCACCAAAAAATATACCTTTCCATTTAAAATAAGAAACTTGAGACCTACTTCCGGTATAAGCGGAAGTGCCGCCATCTTAAAAATATTTTCATTTAGGAGGACTTAATGGTTTATGGCTATGTACCAATTTTCAAATAAATACGATTATTCCAACTCCCAATACTTCTAATGTGCGGTTTAGACGGAACACCCTGTATACAAATGCGCTAACTTGACGAAGTTACAATATTCATATTAAAAATTTTTGTAATTTTTAAAAAAAATTGAGATTTTCAATGAAAATGTAAAAAATCCCTAGATTACTAAGAAAAATTAAAAAAAATCCCTTTTTGTTAGAAAAATTCCCTAATCTGGCATCACTGCACTGACCTGTCCCGATCGAGATATCCACTACTTCCCCAATGCTGTGTCCCAACTTCGGGGATTCCCGTAGCGAAATAAAATCCTCGGCCTTGGCTATCCCATCCTGAGGTGCCTCTATACGTCTCATCCCACGGTTTGAAGCCGTCATAATCCCTATAATCCCGTGAAATATACTCGACTTTTTCGTTTAATCCCGATTTTAATTAAATTAGAGGTAGACACGGGTTTTGGTAGTTTGCATCAGCGAAACAGCTGGCGCCGGTTTTATTTTCATTGGATTTTAATAAACTTGGCGATTTTTGCTTGTAAACTTTACTCGATGCAATGCTACAACGGGGTTTAGTCGAGGAGAAAATCGGGACATGGAACAGAATTGGTTAAAACTTTTCAAGAAAATAAAAGCAAGACAAGAGTTTTTACGTCTCGTGATTTTTTTTGTTGTGTGATCTTTGTGTTTGTTTCAATTCGCAAATAATAAATTTTTCTGCAATTAAAAATGCATTTTTAATGAAGTTATTGATTAGAACTTTTTAAAACTAACTGACAATACTAATCAACTAATTGCAGTATTATTAATAACTATTGACAAATTTAATTAAAAAGACTATAATATAGCCGTCAATAGTTAATTAAATATCAATGTTTTAACTAAGTAGCAATTTTCAGTTGTTGACAATTGAATCTAATTCATATCAAAGTTTTTATTGATTAAAGCAAGTTAATATTTTTGTGAATTTTTTGTAAATAAACAATTCCTAACTACTGACATAACTATTGTCAACTTTATTTTTCATAAAAAAATTACAGTAATAACTATTCCTTACACAATCATTTCATTATCTACTCATTCTGTTACAAAATTTGTAAAAAATATTGTTTTCTAACTAAAATTAGTTAAACTAATTGTCAAAAAATTACTAGCAATATGTGATTTTATAACAAAGTTAAAAAAATAAATAATTTAAGAAAGACTCTAATATGGCTGTCAATAATTAATTAAATGTCAATGTTTTAACTAAGTAGCAATTTTCACTTATTGACTATATCTATTGACAACTGACTTTAATTCTAATTAAAGTTTATATTGACTGATATGAGTTAATATTTTTTTGGTAAATAAATATTATAAATTTGTTTTTAGGGTTAACATTTCCTAACTACTGGCATAACTATTGTCAACTTTATTTTTCATAAAAAAATTACAGTAATAACTATTCCTTACACAATCATTTCATTATCTACTCATTCTGTTACAAAATTTGTAAAAAATATTGTTTTCTAACTAAAATTAGTTAAACTAATTGTCAAAAAACTAATAACAATATGTAATTTTATAACAAATTTAAAAAATAATAAGTAAAATAAAAAAGACTCTAATATGGCTGTCAATAGTTAATTAAATCTCAATGTTTTAACTAAGTAGCAATTTTCAGTTATTGACTATAACTATTGACAACTGACTCTAATTCTAATTGAAATTTATATTGACTGATATGAGTTAATATTTTTTTGGTAAATAAATATTATAAATTTGTTTTTAGGGTTAACATTTCCTAACTACTGACATAACTATTGTCAACTTTATTCTTCATAAATAATTTACAGTAACAACTATTCCTTACACAATCATTTTGTTATATACACATTTGTTTAAAAAGTTCTAAAAAAACAGTTGTCAATATTTAAAAAATTTTCAAAAAATTAATAGCAGTGATTTTATAACGAATTTAAAAAATTATTATTAAATTAATTTCTGATTGCTCAATACTGTAATATTATACTTTTATATGATGTCAAAGCTGTTATACTAAATATAACTAGTGCCAAGCATAAATAAAATTATTTTGTTAATAACTATTAATTCGACAGTAAAATCTACTTTAAACAGTAACTACATAGAGTCATTAAATATTAACTATTGACAAATTTGTATCAAACTATCTGACAATAGTTAATGAAATAATTTTGTCAATAATAGTTGTAACAAATTGTTGTCAATACTAATAAAATAGTATTAATAAATAAATATTTTTTAAATGACAGTCAACTTTACTGCCTACAGTTATTTAACTATTGACTAAAATTACAATTTTTGTGTTAGTAATTTATAGATTAATTAATAGTTTTGCCGTAGAATTCACTTAAACTAACTATATTTAGTCAATGATAATTAACTACTGACAATTTGTCAGTATAGTAAGTAGTTACTATAACTATCTACCGCATTGCATTTTTTTGTGAGAGTAAGTTATAGAACACAGTTAAATATTGCATTTCAATAGTTTATCAATTATCTGTAAAATAAAATTTCTGAAAATTGCTTGTCAATAGTTAATACAAAAACCTGTTGAAAGTCGACAGCGCTATTGTCAATAAAAATATTATTTTTAGTTACTCAAATAACTATTGACACTTTGTATTAAATCATTTTTTTTTAATTTTAATAGTAGTTACTTAACTATTAAATGTCAATAGTTAATTATCTATCAATAAATGTATCAAAGTTTTAAAATCTACCAAAAAAAACCAAATTGCATTTTTCTTTTAATGTAGAGGTAATAATCATTTGATGAAGTCAATAGTTAACAATAAATGAAAATAGTTAATAATAACTATTGACAGCTATTTATGTAATTTTCTTAAGTTTTTTTTGTTTAACTAGACGCATTATTTTAAACCTCGACTATTGTCAATAAGTTTTAACTATTGACAAGTTTATGACAATCTGTAGACTTAGTTAGTAATGTACTGCATTGCCCAACAGTTAACATTCTTGTCGTTAAGCTAATAAAAAAAGCTATACAACAATTTAATAATTTGTTTACAAGAAGTTTTTGGCAATTGCTTGACAATAGTTAATACAAAAAACTGATCTAAATTGTCAATAAAAATACTTAAATCAATTTTCTTGACTTTTGACAATTAGTACTTGACTATTGACTGTCAATAGTTAATTTTAACTATTGACAACTATATATATATAAAGTCAGTTAAATTTTCTTTTGTCTCACTCACCTATCTCTCCCTTCATCCCTTCCTCCTCCATAATTCCATCCACTAGCATACCCCCCTGTTCCCCAGTACCCCGCTCCACCTTCCGGCCGTCCTCCATACCCTCTCCCTCCTTCCCATCCCCCTCCCGACGTCTGATAATCCCCAAATCCTCTATCCCTATAGTCATACCCCCGATTATCATACCCGAATCCCCTATCATAATCCCTATCATACCGGTCATATCTCCCCCCATAATCCCGATCCCTATCATATCTATCATACCTATCTCGGTCATACCGGTCATACCCCGGCCTTCTATCATACCGATCCCTGTCATATCTATCCTCATATCTGTCATACCGGTCATATCTCCGGTCATCATACCGGTCATACCTCCGATCATCATACCGGTCATATCGGTCAGACCGGCGATCATCATACTCATATGGCCGGTATCTGCGTTCGTCATACCTCGGCCTCGCCTCGTACGGATACCGCGAATCGGAATAACTCGAGTCACATCGGGTGCATCGTTTCTCAACCGGATTGGTCGGCGTTTCGCCCTCGGGGGAATCCTCGGGTTTAACAGCACGGTTTAACGGTTGGAGGTTGGTAGTACTGGAGCTGTACCGGGGGTAGTACTTGTTGTCGCGGGGGACACGGGCGGTGTTGAGGTTAAATATGTCTTTCACGGTGGCCGAATGGGCGAGGAGGAGTAGAGTTGACAAGTGAATCAAGGTGTACTAGAAAAAAAAACAAATTTTGCCGCCTCGTTAAAATTGTGGTGGCTTGATATCAAAATTTGCCGCCTCGCTAAAATCATGTCTTGATTTACAATACCAAAACAAATTTGTGTAAATTTTAATGAAGCGGCAAGTTTGGTCTGCCGCTTCGTAAAAATTGTGAACCAATTTATAATTACCAAAAAGTGGTAAAAATCAATTTTTACACAAATTAATGTGTAATTTGTGCATTGTTAATTGTTATGCAGCGACAATTTCGGTGTGCCGCCTCGCAAAAATTATGAACCGATTTAGAATTACCCAAAAGTGGTAAAATTATGTCTTGATTTACAATATCAAAACAGACAAATTTGTGTAAATTTTAATGAAGCGGTAAATTTAGTGTGCCGCCAAGCAAAAATTGTGAACTGATTTATAATTACCAAAAAGTAGTAAAAATAAAAATCAATTTTTACATAAATTTACATCAAATTAGTGTGTAATTTGTGCATTGTTAATTTTTATAAAGGGGCAAATTTGGTGTGCCGCTTCGTATAAATTGTGAATTGATTTATAATTACCCAAAAGTGGTAAAAATCAATTTTTACATAAATTACATCAAATTAGTGTGTAATTTGTGCATTGCTAATTCTTATGAAGCGGCAAATTTGGTGTGCCGCTTCGTAAAAATTGTGAACCGATTTATGATTAACAAAAAGTGGTTAAAATAAATTTTTAATCAAATTAAATTAGTTTAGTGGATATTTTCAATTGCTCAGTCACCGGATACGGAAATAATGAGGGGAATTGACCGAATAAAGAATGGGTTTTGTGTAGTAATTTTCTAATTTCAAATTGTATTTTCTAGACTTTGAGTTTTTTATTTTGTGTTTATCTATTTAATTTATTTTAGATGACAAAGTTTCAGAGATTTTACAGGTTTTTTTTAATTTTGTTTTTCAATTTTTTTGTTCATAAATATCATTTTTACTGTTTTATATCACTTATTTTGTTGAGTTTCTATTTCTCGTTTACTTAAATTTTTTTCAAAGATTTTTATTGCTTAACTAACATAAGTTTC